AAGAAGACTGGGAAAGCTTGGGCTCACTTCAGGCCTCTCGTTTTACCGTTATCGTCGTGTCGCGAGACAACCTTGAGATAACTATCCCCAAGACTGCTTTGGACCTTGTTGGCAAGCTGGCTACGGTGAATTTTATTTGATGCATACATTTTATTTCTGGCACTTTTATACCTTCTTGAAAACTCTGGCAATACCGTTTCTTATTAATTTTTATTATTATTACCAACGTTGACGTCACACGCATAACACTAGCCTGGTGCAGGCTAACATCAATATGATTCGCATATCAGTTCCACTGGAAAGCCACTCGGTAATCAAAATTTTGTGCTTGATGTATCTATGGTAAACTATAGGCGCATATGTATGCTCGGTTAATGTTTAATTAGGGCTAGTGATGAAAGTTTTACCGTTTTTATTACATTTTACTTTGTCGAACAGCCATTAGCAGCATCTCTTTCTCGGACTGAAATTTAGTAAGTTTATTTGAAATATGTTTGCATATATGTATATATTTTGTCTTCGTACTAATCTGATCACTTAACTTTCACCAACCTCCAAAATATATTAAAGTCTCATTCTTTTCTTTAGCAGTTCACTACTTTTAAATATTACCTGTTGATTCCTGTATCTAAAAATGCAATTGGAATTTTTATTTGATTATCATTCATTTGGCCATTCCTAATGTTTGGTTTCACAAATTTCTGCAGACCATTCTCCGCTTTCCAATAGTGCGTAGATCTATACATTTTTTCAGCATCAGCACTCCTACACTACTAACTTACTTTTTGGGTCTGTCTCGTCTTACCTTGGGTTTTCATTATCTTTGGTGTATTGTCAATCGATTCGCCATGACAATTGTTGCTGGCACGTCTAATTCCTTTGCTCTGGCATTCCCTTATATTGATAATTTTGGGCAAAATCGTTTGCTTTTTCAGTTTATATTTCCTTTGCATTCTTGTTATGTTCTTCCTCCTGATAATTACTTTTATATGTTCCTTCTAAAAACTGAGCCTTTAAATTTGTCCATCTTTATTGCGTGGCCTCCACTTGCGTGAAGTATTTACAATCAGATTAATATTAAATCAAGTTTTTTTCCCCTCGCATATTGATTTTTTATACTTCAAATACTCTTCACTAACTCCTGTTCCTCCCTCTTAGGCCTTCGAGGATGCATACAACCTAGGCCGCGACGAATTCCTTCAGGCAACCGTTCCTCTTACTTCGAGTAGTACTCGCTCTCTTGACCTTCCAAGTCGCCACGGGGAATCTCTCAAGCGTACCTCTACCAAAGCACCCTATCAGGTCATAAATCGTACTGGCATCAATCTAATTGTCTTCATTGATCCCAGCCAGCTTCAATCAATATCTTGTGAGAAATCTACAACAGATGAGGTAAAAATAGGTCAAACGACTGAGTCTGCTGCTATTCGACCTTCTACCAGTTCTGAATTGTTATCCTCGAAGACTTCGTCACGTGGCAGACAGCGCCGTAACTCAGGGAAATTGTCATTTCCTGAAACAGCTACTCAAGCGATGGCCCCAGCCTCGACAACTAGTAAACTTGCTACTGGTCGTCATGCCATACGACTGATTGATGGCGCCGAGCTGCTACTCTCAGACGCTAAGCCTAGCAAGGTTGATAACCAAAAGAATTAAAGATTTGCTTTGAACTATGATTTAC